AAAAATAATAAAATACATTCAGTATTTGGAACTTATGACCAAGCGGAGTTGCTTTATGGAGATAAAAACTGGCGTTGGATTTGGGTAACGCAATTACTAATCATGTATTTACTTTCTGGCTGTTTTTTTTAGATCTAGTTGTTGAACGGTATAAAAATGAGCAGGTTTTCGAGTATAAGGCGAGTAATAACGTTTTCTTTTTCTTGAAAAGAAGTATGGAAGGGCAAATTAAAGTTACACTTGGTAAATAAATTATCTTATTGGTTTTTATAGATAAAATTATAATTAGACAATATGTAACATCAATACTTTTTTACGTAGTTGGGATAGATAATGTTTTCCTTGGTGTTCGTAACGCAAATAATGAAATTCCTTATAGTGTTGGAACACTAAAAAAAATAGAAGAACCCGTTATGTTGTAAGTTGCATAATTTCTCCAATTCTTTACAAAAAAGCAGGGCTTGTTTTCTTATACTATATATTCATTTTACTGCTTTGTAAAACTATAGGTCGGTTCATAAAAAAGATGATGCATATTTAAGTGTTAATAACGATCCAAACAGTAAAATCGATCTTAAGAAAATTATTGAAAATCCAGGACGCCCAGAACTATATACGGCAGGAAAACTACGATTAGAATTGGTGTTCAACGAATCCGGGGGAACCGGCTTTCAAGAAAATGCTGGTGCTGGGAACATTCCAAATGAATAATTTTTTTATTTGTATTTTATATTGTTGTTCGTTTGGGCAACAATTTTTATGAAATAAAGAAGGGGGTCCGGTGGCCTCGCCATTTTTTATTTTTATTTTAACGCGATCGTGTAAATAAGTATTGGTTATTTTTTTATATCGTTATTTCGATTCCACCCGAAAATTGCCAAGAAAAAAAAAAATCTCGATCATATACGAGTAATGTAAATACAAAAAAATAAATTCGCGAAATATACACGCAAAAGTAAACTGATTATTTATGAGAAATTGAGCCACCAGGGCCAGCTTTATTAATATCGATATAAAAAAGTACACAAAACATTTCCATTAAAGAGATATGTACCTGCATGCAAAAAGTAAATATTACTGTATTATGAATGAAATGTATCGGCATTTTGATTTTTTGGATGTAGTGATCACAGTAGCCCAGTTTGCATATCATACTGATTGCTTTATTACAAAATAATGCGTAATACATGCAGAAATACAGTTGTCAAAAATAAGTTATTATAAATGATGACACCTATTCTAGATCCTATCTAGAGCGGTAATCCTCTATCCGTGCTTTCTTTTTCGCACCAGACTTATCTACACACGCCCTATCTTTCAACATACCCACAACCAC